GCGAGAAACCGCCCCCCCAGGGGGGATGGTCACGCCGCAATCCCTTCTCCTCCATTCTCCTCTTGGGATCTTGGGCACGCACGCACATGCGCCCAGCGTGAGTTTTAAGCCACCGGGTCTGGGACACGAACCGCGGTCGACTACGTGGGAGTCCAGCGACATAGCCATTACGCTAACTGCTGGTTCCCATAGGATGCTTCTTTTTAATACTGAAAGATAAATGCCTCAAGGAAGGATAAAACTGACTTAAGTTTTTAAGATATTTCTTATAGATATAGTTGACTTAATTTTTAATTAATTAATTTTTAAAATTCTTTTAATGCCAGAAGGCATGCACATACATCAGAGGGAGGAAAAAAATACTCCCCTTGGGACCTGGTCACACCAAAATCCTTTTTTTTTCTGTGGCACCATCCTGTCAGAATTCTGAGCATGCACATATGTGCCCAGTGTGTCACTGGAGGAACCAGGATTCAAACCTCAGTGGGCCTATATGGATCTAGCTTCCCCTGCACAGTGCTTACCCACTGCACAAGGCTCCTCTAACACCCCTTTTAAGGAGCTTTACAAATTTCCTATCTTTTAGATTTTTCTTCCTATATTTTTTGCTTACTGGCCCAAATTAGCAGTAAAGAAATTTGACACTATCCAGTATTAGGTTTGCACTATCCAGTATTAGATTTTCATGAATGAATTAACTGTACAGAAGTAGAGAGATGCTGGCTAAACAATAAACCATGTAGTTTTAATTAATATGCCTAATATAAGATTTATAGATTTCTAGGTAGTTCCAACAAGTCTTTCTATGTATAAACTTTTTAAGTTTTCTTTGCCAATATCTATTTTCACTTGGTAGTGTTGTTTCCTAAAGGAATTTAAAGTATAGATGATAAATATTTATAAGATCCAAAGCATTTTAAAAGATTAGTGATATTTAACAAGTGAAATCATTTAAAAATATGCCTGCTGTATCCATTACCCATAGTTTAAGCTCTTATCTTTAATATGTGCTGCATCCTGTATGTTTATCTTCATTATGAATGTGTTATTGTGTAAAAGATCATACCACTTACTATAAATTTTCCAGATGTTATGTTTTCCTGGAGAATTTCTAAACTTAAAAAAAATGTATTATTGGGACCAGCAAGTAGCATGGTGGTTAAGGTGCTAAACTCCCACACGATTGAACCCAGTTTAAATCCTGGACCTGGCTTCTTGTTTTCTTGCTTTCCCTCTCTCTCTTTCTCTCTCTCTCTCTCTGTCTCCTCCTTTCTTCTCTTTCTGGTCAATACATTAAAAAATAATGATAAATAATTCTTTTTTAAAAATGTATTATTAGTTTTTAAATTTATCCTCTAAACAAGAGAAACAGAGGGAGAGAAAGAGAAACAGGACCAGATCATGGGCACATGTGGAAGGACTCTGGACACGAACCCAACACTCTCCCATGTGGTTACCGTGGAGGAACATTGGATTTTACCAGTACACCACCATCTGACTCCCTAAACTTCTTTTAGATAGCTTTTGTATTTTCCCTCTTTTTGTGAATTACTTAGATCTTAATATTATTATGATTCGTGAAGAATTTACATACTTTAAATC